AAACGCATCTTGCAAATTCTGCGCTTTAGTGATTACGTCAAATTGGTAGTTTTTCCTTGCTTCTTAGTTTTTTTGCGCTAAGATTGTAAAACTTGAGAACTCTAGCCCACGACCGGTTTGGTTTCGTTATCTTGCCGTAATATCCACGATCGGTTTGCACGATACTGAAGAATCAGTGATAATGGGAGTCGACGTATACAAAGGTGCTGTTACGCTTGGTTTTATCTTGCCTATCTACCAAGACATGGTCGTTGCACTTGATGGTGATGGGTGAGTTTACCTCTCGATTTTACTTTTGCATCACGGATGCTGCGCATAGGCCTAATGTGGTTGGGTTAACCTGTCCTTGTTATTGCTTCAGGGGTTTCAAGCTTATAACCAAAGACATTGTACGACTTTTCAAACCTGTTTCGGTTCAGGCCCTTTGGGCTGCGCATCAGGCGATTATGCAGGGCTGCAAGGTGGCGCAGCGAAATGACTATCATTCCAAGGGTCCCAGTCACTCATGGATCTCGTATTATACTCGGTTGCCCACCTCCAAACAATTCATGATGTTTGAGTGGAATAAAATGGAGGACATTGGAGAAATGGGCAGAGCCACTCCACCCACTGATGATTTTGATAGGCCCGTCTCCGATGACGAGCAAGTTTATTTTATCTTTGAAATCTTTCCTGTTTTTTTAATGTTGTGAAGTTATATTGTGCATTGTTCTGGAAATTTGGAGGGAATTCTTTCAGGCTATCAGATACATATATTGATCATCTTTTTATTTGTTACTGTGTAGGAGAAGGACTGAAAGCTTTAAAAACACAATTCGTCTTCATCTTCAAAGAATTATGGGTTCAGTTGATTTGGAGGACGTCAACGTTGTTCAGGTATGCTAATTTTGTCAAGGATTTGTTTTCTGAACCTCAAAAATCTTGTCACATGTCAAATGTCTTGTGATGCTACATCTTTTATCATCTAAGTGTGGAATTCTTGTAATGTCTTAAATGTACCTACCTCATCACAATACTATCTTTTTAAGTTTTGGGTTGAAAGTTACAAGACGTTCCGATAATCCGAAGCCTTGACGATGCTCTTTATTGATTTCCTCTAAGTTACCATCTTATCTTCAATCTTTGAATATTTTAGTGTAATTAAATTCTACTTGTGCGATTTTTTGTTTTTTGAAACCTAACTTGAATACCACTGGAGGAGGCCGACATTTCCACTATTCTGTATGACGTAGGCTGATTTTGTGTCGCGAATTATAGGCCTTTTCTCATCTGGTACTATTAAACTTGTTTGCGTTAAGTGTCCTTCAACACTTATGCTTTCCGGTGTTTGTTATATTGCCTTAACATAAGTTCTCTTTACTACCTATTTTTATTCCAATTAGGCTTGGCGTTGCTTTGTATTTGTGTAATACGATAAGTTAGACCATTTTATTCTTTGAGTCACATCAAGCACTCCCGGTAGTGCTTAAAATGGGTCGTGGGCTCGTCTTTCAATCCATTCTATGTAACTATTTATCGACCAATATTTGAGCACCACAGGCATACGTTTCGCCTAATGAGTGGTCCTCGGGAGTGAAATTTTTCACCATTCGTTCCACCCACCAGGTAAACTTTGTGTCACGACTCATGAAGTGATTTCTTAGGACACTTAACTTTGCTTCGAAGACAAAAGCAGAAAAATTAGCTTCCTGCTAAACATTCAGGTCCTATTTTCCAAAGTAACATTCTTAACTGTCAGCCGAAGGTCCGGCTTAATGACGGATTTCATGAAAATATATAGCCTTTGACTGTTTTCTGAAATCATGCTTCATATTTTTATTCTCATTTATGTTGCTGCTATAATGACGTTGCCTGATTTTAACTAACACAATTTCATTTTTTCTGCTTATTTAGTGATTGGTGAAAATTTATGTGTCAATATTCATCCTCATTTAATATTTTACCGGCCTGACTATCAAATTCAACCGTCTAGTCTGCCCCCTGAGTGCTCACTTATGAACTCACCAGTTTGTCAGTTTTGTCAGTAAAGCTTAATGGCATTGAGGGCTTACTTTTTTGCGCTCTAAGATGTGCTCATTTTTGAGGACTATCAGCTCTCAAGTATTTGGTATTCGAAGGGAATTTTTTTCTGTTAGCACACCTTTAAACTCATCTCCTAAATGCAGTAAGATATTTAAAATTTGCACTCTCTGGACTCGGGGGTTCTACCTTGCCAACAAACTCTAGCCGTTGATTGTTTATTTAAACGAAAATCTTTTTTTTTCATAAATCTATCATATTTTGGTTTTATAACCTTCGTTACAACGAAATGTCGTAGCTCCCATTAAAATGGTGAATTGCGTTTCAAGTGTACATAGACTTTTACATGGACTTTCAACATCGTGTGAGTGGGTGCGGGAGACTTAATAATAATAGTTCTGAGACAATCGGTTAAGCTTGTAGCTTCGCTTTTGACTCATGATGTGATTTGTTGCGCTTGTCGTTCTCGCTACCCTAATCTGTTTCATTATCATAATATTCTTCTGAATGTTAGAGAGCTATTAGTTCAGCTTTCGATTAAATAACCTCATCCTTTTAAATACTTGGAATGCTTGCATTTCGATCTGAGGAATCGCATGTAGCTTGTCTGCATATATTATGGCTCTATTTTCACTTATTATACGCCATTTGCGCCTCACTTTCATCAACTGACCCGTAGCGCCTCTACATTTCTTCGGACAAATCTCGTGATTGTGCTTGTGCGCGGATTTAAGTTGTAACATTCTATTAATGTTGAATCGAATCAAGGAGCTTTTATCAAAATTTTCCTTTGTCAGCTTCGAGAGATGCTTGAGGAGCAGATGGGCATGTCATTGAAGGATCAGCGTCAGTTCATCGCTGATCAGGTGCTTATAATCTACGGCCAAATGGACGTGCCTTCCTTAATCTTCGACCACCTCCTTTTGGGCAGCTCCTTTAACGCCTCCAATGGGGATGAGTTGCGAAGAAACAACGTCACCCACATTGTCAACGTAACTCGGGAAGTGGATAACTTTTTCCCTGCTGATCAGTTCATTTATAAAAACATCCGCGTGTATGATGACGAGAAAGCTCAGCTTCTGCCTCACTGGGACGAAACCTTCAAGTTTATCAATGAGGCTAGGTAAGTCTCTAGCACCAAAGCCCAAGTGGCACTTGCTTTTATTTGGTAACAGTTTGGCTTGGTTGACAATACGCTAGGATTCGACGTGGTTTTGGTTACACCATGCTCTACAGATTTGTTTTTTACAATATACATCTGATTTCCGTATTTAAGGTTTTCGATTTAAAGCGTCTCCTAAATTCCTCAATTGCATTTCTTTATCCACTGATCGAGCTAAGGCACCGGGGTGAGTTTGTTGGGTCTACTGCGGTAAATGCGTTCTGTGCTCACATGTTGATAACTTTCAGGTATTGAAATGCTTAGAAAGGCATCACGATGGAGGTATTAGGTGATATACTCAGGCTCTTTCGCCCTGCTACTTATCATCAGATATTATCGTTTTTGGCACTTCTTTCCTTTACTACATTTGGTCGTTGATTTAAATGGTTGAATTTTGAGCGTAAAACAGGAGGGTGGAATATCGCATTCTCAAAGTGTTTGTGGCTTTTTCTAGCTATTTTTTTAAGCATAGCTTTAAAGATAAACTGCATTGTATATTTGCCATTGGAAGGCTAGGTACATAACTTTAATTGCCCAGCATTGTCCATTCTTCTT